AACTCCATGTAGCTCTTAGCTAAATACATATCTGGGTCGTTCCGCGAAAGATCTGACTGTCATGGAATTTATTGAATTTGCGACCTACGGTGAGGAAATTCTTGAGCCCCAGGTTCCTAGAAGTGAATCATTGGTATATTCTCTTGGTCTTCTTTGCTTCTGCCATTTCGCAGCATGTTCTCTTTGCTCACATGAACTCTTTCCCAGGTCCGCAAGCTGATTGAAAATCTAAAACCAGATGGACAGAGTGAGATCAAAAGTTTGACAAAGAGCTGAGGCGTTTCAGCACTGGGAAAGGTCTACCTTCAGGAACTTCGGATAGATAGTAATAAGCTACTTTCATTATATACTACTTTCATTATATATATACAGGTATGTTTGTATACGTATTTTCTACCAACGAAGTGGACTCTGAACCCTTACCTTTGTAGACTTGATACTCTTGAAAACTTAATAGGCATCAATATGTGCATACATATGTACATAAATGTTGAGTTGCTAGTATTGTTGTAGCAATTAACTGTGTACTCAGTTTCCTTTCCTTTTTTTTTTGTTTGGAGCAGTTCAAAGTCTCATATTTCCATTCGTTCGTTTTCTTTTAGCTCGCAATACTACTTCAAGCACACACAGACATACACATGTATTACCTGCTGCATCATTAACGCGCCACCACTTGTGGCAACACAATTAAACTTTATACAACACACACTTCTAACCAGCCCAGACAGAGAGACAGACAGACCGCGCAACTAACCGGTCGGTGGTCATCAGCCGGCCGGTTGCAAGCTAACCGTTTGGCCAAGTAAACAAACCGGCAGCGGCGAAACTACCGCAGAAGACAAGTTCTTATGAGTACTACGCTATGCTGAAGACACGCTTCAGCGCTAACGTTACCAGCATTGTCTTCAACTTTTTTATGCCCCGCTGTATGTCTGCCAATAATAATAATGATGAGGATGAGGATGATGATGCACACGAAAGGGCGAACTTTGAAAGTGTAACCATCTAGCAGGCTGCAGGCTTGGCACAGACTGATATTATGATGGCACTTTTGATGGTTTTATTTTCTTTTGTTGTTGTATTAAATGCAATTTCATTACACACTGCTTACACTCTGAAGCGCAGTAACAGGTTTTCCACACTTCAGCTTCATTTGATATGGTTCAAGTGTCGCCTACTTGCCTACTACCAGCTATAAGCCCAACCAGCTTCATGTGATCCAGAAACTACTTATGTACTTATTTATATTAAAAGTTATTGTAATAAAGGTGCCTGTTTGCATTGGACAGTAGCCTAAGCGCAAGTTATACGGTTGCGGCTTAAGAAGCCTGCGAGTACGAGTTTATAAGAAATGTTGTCTTTATTACTGTTCACTGCGTAGACCAGTTAACTGGTCATTCGCTTGATGTCTTGCAGTGCTCTACAGCAGGTTACTACATACCGACTGTCACATAATGTTGATGATTCATAATTTTGCTCATTAACACATGTTGTGTAGTATGGTTAACGAGATTTTTTGTTGTTTATGATGCGGCGGTTCTTTTTTCTTTATTATAAGTTTAAGTTGGGCTACAGGCGTTCCATTCCTTGCATGGTTTATACCTCACATCCTCCCATGAAAAAGCTTATGTGACATGAGTTAACGAGAAAAACCACAAAGACCGTACTTCCATCTGCGAATCGCTGCTGTATCGTAACCAAATCAACCCATTTCTGAAGCGGATAGTGACTGGCGATGAAAAGTAGATCACCGTCGTGTTTGAACAGTCGTGGAACAGTTTGCAATTCAGGACTAACGGCTAAGAAGATTTTGTTATATGTTTATTGGGACTGGCAGGGATTATCCACTATGAACTACTCCCCTAACACTTAATTCGAACTTGTACGGCTACAAAATTTAACCGTCCGACGGAAGCAATCGCTCAGAAGCGCCCAGCTTTGGCCAACAAAAGGGGAATTGTATTTTTTGAGAACAAAGTCAGACGACACAAATCGATAGTGACTCGCCAAAAGCTCCATGAGCTTGGTCGGGAAATTATTTTATTGGCACTTTGTAACCGCTGAAGCGATTTTTCGGCCGAGCTCCTCCTCCAACTTGTAGTTTTTCGTCTTGATGTTTTTCCAAAAGATGGAGGGATCTAAAGTTTATACTAAGCCCCCACCGAACGGCTGATGGTTTTTTTACGAGCAGCCTTTATTTCATTTCCGAAATATACTAGGAGGGATGGATATTCCCTGCCGAGGGGCGACCGCAATTAGAAAATTTAACTTAATTTTTTATTCAAATTAATTTTCCATAACTTTTGGATGTTGGTGGCACCGGCTACTGCGGCCGCTTCCATTTTATTATCCGGGCCTCGCACCAAGTGATTACCATCTGTCTCTCTCTGTGGCGGATTATCTACCCGGTGAAGAATTGGCCTCAAGAGACGCTACAATGGTTCCGATTTTTTGTTAATAAGGACAAGGGTTTCTATCTTAGAAGCATAATGATATTCCCTCAAAATAGCAAAAAGTTATTGAGCACAACGGTGACAAAAATAACCTTCAAATGGTAATCAGTAGAAACAAGGTCTGATAAGTTGCTGTCGGTAGGGTTCCCCACTATTGGTTACACCCGATTTTAGAAGCTCATAATCCCATTGAATTCAGTGCATTAACTTGGCACTATGGCTGTGCAGACTTCACTTATGACTTTTTACGCTTAGACTTGTCGTTATGGATTCATTGGTTTTTATTCATTATGCCATTTCCTTTTTTGAATATATTTGACAATTTCTAAAGGTTTTGAAATGGTTAATTGAGCGACTATCAAATATACTGCGAGACCTTACTGTGTTTTCTTGCTGAGGGTCATTTTTACAGATTCGCAAAGTTGGTCCGAACTTCAACATGCTCATATTTAACGCCTCCAAATGAACTCCAGAGAGACACTAAGAGACGCAGACATTCCAAATTTTTATTATTTTTATTATGATTTACTTGAAGGGAATCGAAAAAAAATTAATAAGACTGAATTAAAACAAAGAGTTGAAGTCAAAGATGCTGTTTTTAACATATTCGAGATAATGAACGCCGATATCTGTATATAGATAATCTTCAAGAATTTCTTTGTAGTTTATTTTTTATTTTTTGTTTATTCCTTATATGCAATTGTATCTTCTTATGATTTTTATACAATACAAAGATTTTGTAAATTATTGTGACATTAAAATTTGACTCTTAAACTTGTCTACTGTAATTCAGTACAAGCTGACATTTATATAAACATTGTGTAATCTTATAATCAATGCATGTGAATGACTGGCAAGAAATAAAAATAAAAATAAAAATAAAATGAGTTAAAATTAAAATTAATATAAATATAAAATAATAAAACAAAATAAATGAAATGAAGGTAAGATAATACAAAATAAAAAGAAACTAAAGCTTATAAAATGAACATTAAGTGAAATAAAAGAAAATAAAATAAAATAAAATAAAATAAAATAAAATAAAATAAAATAAAATAAAATAAAAATAAAATAAAATAAAATAAAAAATAAATTAAATGAAATAAAATGAAAAAATAGTATAATACAAAATTAAAAATAAATTGAATTAAGGGAAAGTAATATAAAAAAATATAAAATGAAAAAATAAAATAATATTATATACATTTCAACAAAATTGAATAAAACAACAAGAAAACAAAGTAAAAATAGGAAAGTAAAATATGAAAAAATAGAACAGAAAAAGTAAAAATAAAACAAAACAAATTAAATTAAGATAAACTTAAATTAAATTAAATTAAATTTAAAAAAAAAAACTAAAATAAAATAAAGTAAAAATATATTATAATTAAATTAAGTTAAATTACGAAAAAATAAAAAATAAAAATGAAATAAAGTTAGATACAATTCAACAGAATAGATTAAAATAATAAGAAAATAAAATAAAAAAGTAAAGTAAAATATTACGAAACAAAAACCAATAAAATAAATTTAGGTGAAATAAAATGAAATAAATTATGATAAAATAAATTCACATGAAATAAAATAAAATATTATAAATTAAAATGAAATAAATAAAAAAATAATATAAAGTGAAATAAAATAAAATAAAAAGAATTTAAAAATAAATAAAATAAAATACGAAATAAAATTAAATTAAATAAATAAAAGAAAATGAAACAAACTGAAATTCTAAAAAGTTAAAAAAATTAATTAAATTAAAATTAAATTGAAATGAATTAATTTAAATAAATATATATAAAATTAAAAGTGAAAAAGTAAATAAAACTACAAATATTACAAAATAAAAAAAAATTAAAATAAGAGAATATCATAAAGGTAAAATAAAATTTAATTAAAATAAGTGAAATAGAAAAAATTATACAAAATAACATAAAATAAAAGGAAAGAAAGTAAGACATAATAATTTAATTTGAATAAAATAATATTAAAGTAAAAAAAAAAATTCAAAACTACACCCATAGGGTGACCACCATTTTGATTGGCAGCGACTGATGTGAAATATTATATTATGACCAGTAGCGATTTAATCACTTCTAAGTTGACAGATATCAAAGAAATTTAGTAAATAGTTTTTAATATGCTTGGAGAATTATTTTTATATAATTTTTTAGTAGAAAAAATAATATATCATGAATATAAAATTAAATATGCTCAGAAGAACATAAGGGCTTATATATATTTAATACAATTCTAATAAGTAAGTTAAAAAAATATGGCAATAGTATATTAAATTTGTACAGATATATTTTTGGGGATTTACGTAATGAAATTAATTGAAGTAAAAATAGTTGAAAAAGTGTCCCTCTGACTAGCATTTTTTTCGGAATTAAAAATATTTTCATAAGTGGTCAAATAAAGGTGTTAAAGTTGAACTATCTTGCTGTGCCAATACTTTAGTTCATCACTGTACACATATAATTTTTCGCAATAATACCATTTTTTTAGAAAATATTTTTTTATGGAAAATCATTAAGCTCCACTCACCATTTTGCGCTGCATTCAAACACTTCGCCGCCATCTCCTCACTCAACTCTTCCGCCGGATTGTCCTTATCATCACCGTTTCCAACACCTACGCCAACACCACCACTCAAGTTCATCACGGCCAACTCCATGGGTAGCGACATTTGCTGTAGCATCTCATTGACGCTCACACCTGAGGTCATTGAAAAAGAATATACACTTTCGTTGGGTAAACCGCCAACGCTACAAATACTTTGATCTAAGCTATTCAGCACACCGCCGCCACCACCACAAGCACCAGCACTACCACCCACACCAACAACACCGCCATAAATCGAACTGTTTTGCGAATCGAAACTACGATTGTGCTCACGTCTCTTCTCTGGCGTGGCATAGAGCGCTTCCACTTTCTCCGCTGACATTTTCGTTAAATTGTGCTTTGTTGGCGTTGATGTGCTCATATGCACCGGTGGACCAGAGCTTTCACTATCGAAAGATGTATTCAATGTGCCATAACACGAAGTGGTCATTATGTCGGGTTGTTGATAGATATGCGATCGTTGCACCAAATGCACCGGTTCCGAGGTGGTGCTTTGCCAATACTCCTCACTATTCTGACTCGTGTAACTCATATCGAGCGTGGCTTCAGCAGCTTCCGTCTTGCTAACGCTCAACTCATCAAAATATTCCAAATCGTAGAGACGCGTCTCATCGATCATTGCTATGCCATCATCATCGGCGGCTTGCATGAGCAACGTACTCATGGCTGTATTTGTGGTGGGCTCCTCGCCGCCCTCCACCATTTTTTTGAAACATTCATCGACGTCTTTCAACATTTCCAAAGTTTGGGGCACTGATGTGGAGTGCAAGGAATCCGAGTCGTTCTCTTCAATGCAGGACAGATGTCGCGTGCGAAATCCATAGATGATGCCAGTTTGTATGGGTATGGCATTTGTGGGTGTTGTCGGCGCAGTTGCTGGTGGATTTTGTTGATAAATCAATTGTTGATAATTGTGTTGTTGTTGAGCTGGTACCCGTAGATGTTGTTTTTGTGGTTGTTGCTGTGTGGCATATTGTAATTCGTTGTAAATATGATAGGAGGCATCGGACTCACAGGATTGTGTCATAATATCCGATGAGAAAGAGCTATTGAGTTCGGCATGATCCAGGCAATCGATGCTCGTGTTGTTGGTGGTATGATTGCCCACAGCGGAGTACATGGCACGTGGTTAAACGAAACTGGAAAGAGAAATATACAGATGCATTAATCAGAAACATAGTAAAAGGTATTTTATATAGATCTTCCGTAAGACTTTATAACTTTTGAGCAGAAAGCCACTGCCTCATCTGGGAAATAGATAATTTGAGAAGCCGTCTAATTTTATCGCCTAGCCCTTCTATATCATTGACGATCCATGTCAATTCTACATAGCTTTAGAACATAAGGTTGGATTTAAATTAAACTGGCTGGATAATAAGCTTTACATAGACCACGTCACATACCCTGGAAGAGTGGGCAAACACCAACCCGTGTGGAGCCTTGGCTGAAAGGAAGGGAGCCTTAATGGATCCAGTATGAAATATCCGGTTTAAGGATACACCACAGTCTTTTTGCAGCATCTGTTCACAAGATAAGTGGTTGCGAGCAGGCGCTCGTAAGTTATGTTCAGATATAAGGTAGATTCAGGACCCGCGACTTCGAAATTCCCTCCAGCGTAAGAGATGAAACCAAAAAAATTCTTTAATAAGCAACTGGAGCGTACTTAAGAGCATTGCCAGCGTCACATTATCAAAAATATGCCTTCAACGCGGGATTGGACAATGCATTTTCTGCACAACAATCGAGCCTCCATAGTGAAAATTCCTAAATGGATTAAGGCAAATCGACTTCGGTGGGACCCGAAATACGGTTGTAAAAATAAATCATTATTTTTTAACATCAGAAAATTCATCAGGTTACTTGGCTGCAGACAAAGCATCGGGCTTCAATTCTTATCTCCAATCGGCTCCAAGCACTTAAGAGAGAACTTGAGAAAAGTCTTGATATCCAGCTATTAAACTTCCTCTACTCTGCTGAACAACGAAGCTCGCAAATGCCTGCGATATATTCTAAATCAGAGCGGATAGAAAAATTTAGGACGAGTTCTGCCTACAACCGTTCTGCAGTTCTTTCGAGGCAGTGTGGGCGAAAAGTGTGATTGCACTTTATAATACTGACGGTCTTGCATGATATCAGGGCATTCCATCTTACCCTGATCCGTCTTCAATCTCTCTCGGAGTCTTCAAGAACTTTCATTCAACCGCAAGCGGGTATTTTGGGCAATCTCATCAGTTATTTTACACTGTACTGTACTTTCCTGCCCCTCTGCTTCTAAGAACATTTTCTCAGTTAATTACCGCCGTAGATCGTATATTGATGGTTTTCATGCGGTTTCCGTTAATGTAAGGTACCTTACCAACCTTCATTACCTCGAAGATCTCCGGCTGGAAAATACAGTAATAATGCGGAACATTGGAAGATTGCTAAGACTACGCTCAGCGCATATTTCTCGTATGCTTGCTTGTTTTTGTGTTCCATACGCGGTATCTGGTTCTCATTTCCACATCCACAGGCTATTTCTGGAATCCGGCTTTCCGAGACCGGATGGGCTTAGAAATATAAAATCTGGAATTCAATATCCTAAGCAAGATACTCCTGTATATCCCTACTCCGTCCTCAGCTTCCTAGTTGTTGTCACTATAGCAGTTGTGCTAACTCCGGTCCAATAAATTGGCTCTTTCAACGGGATTGGAAGAAAAAGGGGATTCAAGGAGTTGACTCAAGTTTCATCTTCATCTTGTTTTCATTATCTGGTTTTCCGTTTCTAATTTTTGTTTCCCATCTCTAGTATCCTATTCAAAAGAATTTTGTACATCTCCAAGATTTCACATCGGTGTTCCTCAATAAAGTGTATCCAAAATCCAGTTTCTCAAACCATCTTTCTTGTTTCTGGTTTCTAGTAGTTGAGTTGAGGACCCCGGTTCTTGTATGATACGTTCTAATTTGATTTCCAGGGGTCGGGTTACCGAAACCGTCTTAATTTTAAGCAAAAATATGAGCACCAAGTGAATAGTTGTGCGTTCTACATTGAGGAGTGTTATTGGATCGATACAATCGAACTACGGTCGCTTCTCGACTTTCAGAGGTGGCTTAAAATAAATAGTAGGCCCCTTTTATTGTTGGGAAAGCATTAATATTAACATCATACTCATCGGTATTGTCGGTAACGGAAATCTTTTTCCCCGGGTAAAAATTCTTCATACTTCTAAGATCATAGTCGACACTTTTTCTTTTGCAAAAGATAAATTAAATGGTAATAGCGGAACACTTTTGACCACCAGAGAGCACTGAAAACGCATTACAATTCTGCTTCGTATATGCCTCATTGGACAACAAGCGCCTGCAGTGGAGTGTGGTAAGAAACTTAAAGTGATTGGCGCCATCTACTGTTTTGTGGACGAGAAGTATTTTATACGAAAATAAAATGAATTATTGTGACGAAAAGATTCTTCCCCTTTATTTTTGCTTTACATTTCTTTGGATTTCAAAAATGATTCGTTAATCCAACTGAAAAATCCAGGATTTTGTTACATTTTGACATTTACAGACTATCAATGACAAAACTCAACTGTCAAGCGAAATGGGTTCAATGAACTCCGCCACTCGTACAAAGGTGTGGGACTATGGGCTGCAGACATTTTCCCGCTAACTCACACAGAAGAAGAAGGTGCTCTGAATAAGTCTCTCTCTCTCTCTCTCTCTTTGTACTAACTTTGATTTCTTAGATTTATCAAGTCATTAATCTTGCTAAAAGTGTCTTCCGATGGGGGGTCCTGGCATTCAAGCACAAAAGTAATTAAAAATATATTTCCACTCATGCTACTGAGCGCTAAAGCTAAAACTTTCAAATCTGACTACAAGATTTTAAGTGCTAAATAAATACAACAAATACAAATAGGTTTTCAACATAAATCCTCAAGTTCACACCAACTTAAAGATAAATAAAATAAAATGAAATATATAACAACAACAACAAAAGTAACGATCACCGATATGCGATACCTTACAAATACAAAACATATATGTAATATATACAATATATTCGCCCGGTATTGAGGGTAGAAAGCTATAGCGACAGTCGAGCCACGCACTACAGTCCAAATGATGGAAGAAGTGCGTGCACATTACAGAAAATCACTACTTCACAAATAAAGACAGCAGCGCGCAAACACAAGCTCCCCCAACTCAAGTGTCTTGCAGCCACAACGCAACAGCGCCACAACACCAACACCAACACCAGCACCAATAGCAAAAGCTGAAAAACTAACAGAACGAACTCCCCTACTTAAGCACACGCCCAAGCAGCATTTACACCGTACCGCACCGCACCGCACTCAGCTGCTGGTCGGCACAGACGAGTAATGCAATAAGAAATTCTATGACGGAAGTCTTCCTTTTCAAATGACAACAAGCAGCCGAGTTCTATGCACAGCTGCTTCCTTCTGAGGAAACACCATGTACAACTATGTAAAATTGTATTTCTAACCCCCTGCAAGGCAGTGACGTCGACGCTGAAGCAGAGAGACAGCTACGACACCGCGACAAACGCAGCAGCAGCAGCAGCAGCCTAGGCAGTGGTGGCGTTGGGCCAATAGACGTGCAAGTTGTTGTCATTTTTCATTTTCATTTTCCGAGGAGCGCAAGCGTGTCATTACACCATGCACCTCACAGTACTAGGGATATTAGAGAGTGAGTGGAATCGAAGATCGGATGAACTGAAGTTGAAAGTACTACATATATCAACTCTGATAAGCCTATCGAAGCCGATGTCAGGAGTCTTACATGAAGGTAGGGGAAACCATTATATCTGTCGACGCTATAGAACTGAAGTCTTCTTTCTCGATCTGATCTAAATGCTCTTCAGAAGAAAACCACTCGCTATGGTTGGCTTGGCTGCTAAAGCCGAATCAAGAATCACACAAGATTTATACCTATGGCTGAAATCCTAACGAGTGTATCACAGCTACGGAGATATTGAGTGGGAGTAATTGGCACCTGGAGCGGGACCCTATCCATTATTTTACTTAGTATTAAGGATTTTGCCGTCGCTTCCGATCTGTTACCGAAGTCGATTTTTTAGAGAGAAACAAGTTGACTTGTCTTCAATATAAAATTTTAAGCGCTGAAGCAGTTTTCAGCTGAGCTCCTCCTCAATAATTGTCCAACAAATAGTATCTTCTAAGACGGCTTCAAATAGCTGAATTTTTTCGAGAAGTTTCTTATTTCATATTACAAATACATTTGAGGTAGTACAGAGACGATAGAGACGTTAGAAAACTATTTTTGTATAATTTTGTATGTTGGTTTGTACAAGATTCGAAATCCACACCAACCAAAGCAGCGCGTCACAAATTCTGCCACGCTGTTCTTTTTGTTGTAGCGGTTATCAATCCTACCTTAGGAAGGGGATTAGTATTAGTGTCTTAAGTCTTCGAGTTATGTAACAAGAGATACAGAAAACGGATTATTTCGATGGCCTCCGGTCAGAGAAAGAAAAGTGCTAGGTGAGTCGGTTTCAAAGGGCATGCATAGAGGTGGTTTGTGTGGTGCGGGAACTCTTTTTAGGCACTGGATATGTCGTAGTCAAGACTGGCCGGACCTTAACTGTACCAATATTGCTCGGATGTGTCGTGACAGATTGGGCTCTTGGTCTGCAATAGGCATGGCGTGGTGTTTGGGCTCCGAGTACGCCATTGACCGAAAGAGAGCTTATAAAAGTGCTGACAGACTCACGGTGAGTGGCGTTTAAAGCCTGTCGGTAAGCCGTCCTGTTCAGCGGTTCAGTGCTTAATTCGTGTATGGAGTCTTTCAAGTCATTGTCGATTGGTCTGAGCATCTCTAAGACCCAACGAAATTGCTGACGATATTTTAACTACTTAATAGGAATGTCTCTGAGCTTCGCTCGGAACTAAAATTTCCGATTACACTACGAGGAAGCTAATAATCGAAATTTCCCATTCTTCCTATCTCAAGTTAAAGTTCCATTTTCACCCTACCTGAATGGTATTGAATGTACTTACAACACATCTTCCCGACAATGTCATTGCACTGTTGTGTCAGTCAGCGTGTTTAAGTGTATTTTTGGTTTGCCTGGCGCGCACTCGCTTTGCGCACATACATACGAGACGAGTATGCTTAGAGCGCAAGTCCACTGCAGCATTCTAACGCTCCCAAGTTGAGATGCTCCATCGTTTGTGGTTGATTTATTTTTAGCAACTTAGCTCACTGCCGCTATGCGTTGCCTTCTTTTCCTTGTGTGACTTGTGTTACGCTGCTGCATTTGACGATTTTTGTATAGCACACAAACACACATACACGCACACCTTGTCGAATGGATGCAGGGAATTTTATAAATAAACAACCGCGAAATGTTTATAGAGAAAATACAGGCGTTTGGGCACGTTCCCTTGGAAACACATAAAATAGTGTAAAGTAGTAGTTGGAAAAACTATTTGTACACTGGAAGAAAAAAAGGAAAATTCATATGAGAAGTCGAGTATAAAATGCAATGCTGTTCCTTTCGACGAGTCGCTTGTGCCGTCTGGGGATATCTAAGACCCAACTTTTTATTGGGATATTTCGAAATCTCTACAGCCGAGCTTTGGCCGGGAAGACGCGACTGAACTACTCAGAATCTCAATTAGAGCTAGAAGAACTTTACGTCCATCTGTGTTATCTGACTCTCTTCTTATAAGGCTCGGTGTTTGAATTTTATTTATTAGATGATTTCGACCTCTTCGCCTCCTCTTCCCCCACAACCTATTCTCGCCGAACTCCTCCTCTCCCCTCAGAGCTGTAGAGCGATGGAAATTAGAAAATAACTTTGAATTTAGAATGCTGATCAATGGTGCTTTCGAATCCATGACTCTAGGTAATAATAATCGATCAATCATCTTACCAACGCCAATATGAAAGATTAACGAGCTACGTTCACGTTGTACATGTATTGTCTTTGAATATCTCTAAATACTTTCGCGAATGTTGACTGGTGAACTTCGGCAAGCTTCGAGAGCTCGGTTGACATTGTCATTCTGTTTTTAAGGTTGTGAAGCTCAGTGGGGATTTTTAGCAGTTCAATGAATTAGGGGCTGGCGATAGTTATTGTTATCAATTAATCAATTTTATCAATTAGTATTTATGTTATCGATAATTTATCGATTAATATGGTTATTAATACTTATATTATCGATAAATAAACATATATTAATAATTATTATGGTTATCGATAAATAATCGAGAATTGTAATCGATATAAATCGTTGCCGATAACTATTATATACATATAATTATCGATAATATATCATTATCGATAAATTCTTTGATAATTAAAGTGTAAACATGAACGCGGTTTCCACTCTCATAAGTTTTCTCTGAGTGTACTAAGTTTTCCCGTTGCAATATAAACAAGACACACACACAGCCATTAACGCACACAAAAGAAAATAAACATAAAATTTCTGCGACCTCACGAGTATTTTCCCCACAGGAAAATGCCAGAGACACTGAGATAAAATACGCTGCTGCCACTAAATAGTCATGCATGCATATATAACAATTGCAACAACAACAAAAACAATAACAATCAACAACAGTCAGCAACAGTCAAGAAGCAGTTGGCATCAGAGTTGCCGAAAATAGAGCGGCGCGTGCAGCAAAGATAGGCAATCGTTGAGTGATAGCGACGCGCGGCGACCAGACAGACGGGGCAAAAATAGCAACAAAACAAACAAAAACAACAACAACAGCATAGTGGAAGCAACGAACGACACACAGGACCCCAGCGAACAATGCAACGTCGCGCATTGAACTACTTTCGATTTGATGCTGCTGTCGCTGGTTGTTGTCGTTGGTATTGTTGTTAGCTATGATTTTTTTATCGTATTACCACTGCGTCACATTTCTTCATTCTTTGTTACTTTTTTGTCATTGTTGTATGTTGTTGTTGTTGTTCGCCATTACTGTATCGCTATCTATCGGGAAAATTGGTGTTTCTGTTGGTGTTTAAGGCATCGTCGGATGGGGAGTCGTAACAGTTGTTGCATTAGATGCTGTTTTTTTGTTGTTGTTGTTGATGGCGTTGAACTTGATCAGTTATATACATACTATGCATGTATGTATGTATGTACATGCAACTGTGTGTACTTGAAGAATGTGTGAAAGTGAATAAGTGAGGGCATACAAACACATACATATATGCACACACACACACAAACACACATATTGTTATGTATTACTAAGTGAGTGGGAAGTCGAAAAACTAATTGCTGGCGGAAATGTATTAAAAAAAAGTGAGAAAGAATTTTAATGTTGATAAGATGAGACTCTTCAGAAAATCTAATTTTAAAGCATACTTTTAGGTGTGGAAGTGTCAAAAAGTACTTCAGATAGTAGCTCAAGCAGTTTGATGTAGATCTAACATCAATTGTGGTTTAAGTGGCAACCAAAAAAAAAAAAAAATACAAACTATTTGTTCCGAATAGTCAGAGAAAGAGAGAGAAGGAATTTGAGAGACGCCATTCCTCTGTCTTCACCTTCTCAAATGTTCGAACCATTTCGTAGGCCATATAAAAGCAACAAGATTGCCAATTTTCGCTGAAGCGAGCGGGGCGAGACAGTCGAAGAACTGTTTCCTGAGGAACTTGTGTCAGATGTCAAGGCAGAACAGTGACACTACATCTGCTTAATACATTCTTCTATTTCTTCGTTCCTATATCTGCGAAAAAACCGTTATTTTCCCATTACTCCCCATTAAACAGTGGCCTGTTAATATGCCTGTCATTATTTTAATGGAGAGCCGGTCTAGATGGATAAGATGTTTTGATTTTCTTCGCGCCCAATTTTGTTCATAGCTGTCTGGTCGTGCTGCAAGTCATCTCTTTCAGTCATCCAGAGTCTGTTTCTTTGGTGAAAGCCAGTTTAGACATATTTTGAGTGGATAAAGGTAAACCTGCATCGTGCAAATCTTTTATTGTGGATAGCTAATATCGTTAGTTGGGATGTCATTTCACCGGATGGCACCCGGGCTCAGACCACGGCAATGTTGAAGTCGAGAGTTTGTTCAGATTGTAATACTGTTACATTGAATAGTACTGACTGTCGGAGTATTTGAGCAATCACTCGACGGATTCCATGATTGCAAAGAATACTGCTTGGAAGACGCTAAAATGGTCTGAGTTTCATACTCATATTTATTAAGAGCATCGAAGAGTGGATTCCACAAGCCACTTTTTCATCGAGCTTAGAGCCGTCTTTGGTGGGTGGTAATAGCTTCCTAATCGAGAGCATAGGTACTTTTTCATTCTTTTCTGTTTGGAATTTCCGTGGAATCCTCTAATGGTTTCACTAAGGTCCTTATACCGGGTTTTTGGTTCAAAGCAGTCAAATCCTCTTTGTATTTCTCACCCTTCTTCTTAAATTCTCTCCACTCCGACACATTCGATCTTATCTAGCGTTGAAAAGCCTAAGCGCGAGGGGTTTGTCTGCAATCCATGTTGTTCTATATGTCACCTTCACATAATTGTGACCTGGAAAAACAGCAATAAGTTCTAGGACCCACTGCTTCGAAAACAGCGGCCAGGCATAAGGCAGTGGTGGGTGGTCGCCTCTTCGCCACCGATTTTCGGTCACTTTTTACAGCGATTGGGGAAGTATTACAGCAACAACGCCTCGAATATTCTATCCCAAGGCGTCAATCGTCTCGAACTTAGCTGCCTAGACAGGCGATATAACCCTAAAAAAACAATTGCCCAGTGGTGTTAAATCGCATGAGCTTGGAAGCCACCTGAGATCATCCGCTCACCAAAACTTTCCTTCAATGAACTGATTGTTTCGTTGGCTGTATGGCATGTAGCGCCGCTTTGTTGGAACCAACGTTTGTCCATGTCAACATCGTCCGATTTGTGCACGAAAAAGTCATTCATCATAGCTTTATAGTGTTCCCCATTGACTGTACTACTATGGTCGGCAAAAATTTTGAAGAAATATTGGATTACCTACGCCCATTGAGCACATCAAACAGTGGCTTTTTGAGGATGTAACAGCGTCTTAACAATGGCTTGTTGATTAACATCACATCAAATAGGACAATTCTGTTTTTTACCGTACGCATTCAACTAAGAATGAGCTTCAACGCTGAACAAAAAAGTGTCCGACATCGTGTTTTATGCCCATTCACCGAACGTGCGACGCGCTTGATGTCGTTCCGCTTCATATTGCCCGTGTTGGACGTTGCAAGTACGCAAACCAAGATTCTTCCACAAAATCTTTCATAGATGTGATGAGGGCATACTTCGATACACAGCCCAGCAGCAGCGATACACCTAAAGTAAACGTGGGGCGAAACCGATCCATGCTTGCTCGAATTACCGATATTGCTGGGTGGCAATGTCGACCGAATATTGGATGCCAAATGAACCATTTTCACGATTTGCAAACATTGCTCTGGAGTAAGTCTGTTCACTATGAGCTATGAAGCGGCAACTCAAACGGAGTGTAAATAAAGTCTCAACGGGAATCGAAAATAGTGTGCAATGCAATATATTTAATTTTATTTTTTTATGAAATTTTTTGAAATTAAGAGTTTTTTTCTTTAAATAAAATACTTTGAAAAAATTTCATATGAACTCTCCCTTGAAGAAATGCATTTAATAAAGGTTAATCACATAATTTTGACTCACCACAGTGATCCTAAGATAATTTATTCCAATAAAATCCTTTCAACTTGTATATACTCGTATGTATGTATCGAAGGGTTTTTTTTTTTCTTTTCCTTTTTTTTTGTTTTTTTTTTTTTTTTTTTGAAGGAGAGATTCTTACACTGAGTACTTAAATTTATAAAAAAAATCTTAAAAATCTTTGGCAGATTTTTTTTTTTTTTTTTGTATTTAAAGTAAACAAGGAACAGTTAGGAATTATTTATGTATTTTTTCAAATTATTAGGAACCTTCAGAAGTTCAGGAAAAACACGAATTATATTTAAGTATTTGTATGATAAATTTTAAATATGTATAGAATTATTACTTTGTCTTTTTTTGTACAATTTTAAGTAATTTTAATTATAAAAATTTTAGTCGGATTTTTAACTAAAATATTTATATTAAATTTTTTAATTTTTTTTTATCATTGAGACTTTTTATTTTATTTTTTATTATTTTTAATTTAATTTTTTAATATAAGTTTATTAAATTTTAATGTCACTTTGGCGCAATAAATAATTATTTAAATAAAAAAAAAAATATATATATATAATTAATTAATTTTTCCACAAATATCACTGCACTTTCTTCAGACATTCGTTAAATTTCATTTCCAAATCAGCTGCATACATATATATATATATTTATACTTTAATGCTTAAATCCACAGAGCAATTAGTCACCGATATCTCGCACGATCAAAATAAATAGCGCACCGAAATTCGTGTATAAATCGATCGCTCGCAAGCGTGCCCATCAACGTACCAATTTGGAATGCGCTGGTGATCAAAAAATTCACTCGAACTATAGAGGAGTAGCAGGAATATTATCGGCTAAGTACAGTGCAGTGCGGCGGGAATTCAAGAAGCCGCGCGCATCCGTTAAACGATCAGAGTGATCTTGACAGCAGTCACTGCTTGTGTTGAACTATGTATTTAGCTATGTATATACATAGGTGCATATGTTTGTAGTGGCGCAGCGCACAGCAACCCCCCAAAGTGCGTGCCGGCAGCAACAATTGGCACGCACCACTAGTAGAAATCAAGATGCAGCAGCAGCGCGACAGCGCGATAGAGCGGCGAAGTAGTAGCCGCAGCAACCGCATTTGCATCCGTTGCATTGCATGTTCTTGGCAGCGCTGGCCACAAAGTGTGCATCTAAACAAGTAAAAATTTCTACTACAACTCGTGCGCAGCACGATTTCTAGGCTTGTCATTGCACCGAAGCTGGAGCAGCAGCAGTAGCAGTGCGTTTACTTTGTTGTTTGTTGTTGTTATTCCTAGTTTTCCTCACTTTGTTATATTTATGCCTCTAGTGTGCTGGCTCCACACATCACTCTCGTATATTCATGCATTAGACACTTTGCCAAATACCAAAATAGCCAAAAATAGTCCAAAGCCAGAGGCCAGACGTCGGACAGACATTTTTTCGTCTAGCTGGACGCCGCCGTCGCCGACGACGACGGACGAATGGTGAAGAATGCGAATTGTCGCGTACTAATTTAGCGGACTTTGGAATTTAGCTGCTGACATAAGACGAAGGAAATGGAGGGCGCCTCCGTTGGCGCTCTTACATTTTCCGAATGAGGAAAGATAGGAGCTTTGAAAAAGATTTTGCACAAATCCTATTTAGAAAAGAAAACAACTTCGTAGAATTTATATAAATGATAGTTATTCAAGTCGTCCGAGACTATTTTTGACATGAATATCAGAGCTCCTCATAAAAATCTATCGGCTATTCGGAGGCGCCCTAATGTAAGCTGTAGGTCCCCCATTTATTGGAAAAATATCCAGAAGCAATTGTAGATAAGCCCTTTTCCATCTGATTTTCCCAATGGTGTATGGGCCTTCCTCATCCTCGAAAACTTTCAAGGAGGTAAGAGAGATTCTGCGTTGGATTCCTAAGCTGACTTCTAATGTGTGACTACCAACAGTGACGTGGGAACCGAATAAAGCCAGTAAAATTTGTCTTTCGTATTTATGTAAGCGCGTTAATGAGTTTGTTCAGATCCTAGTTTTAATCTTTAACTTACTTCACTTCTTATACTTTAAGAAAAATATCATACCTTAAGACATTTCTCCTCCAGTTAGTGTAAGGATCTATGGAGATCGTCATCATCTGTATTTCTTTAAGTAATCTATGTGTTGCATCAAATATCCTGAACAAGTAAATATGATAGAGATCAAAAACCGGCAAATACTCGAAAGATGCCCAGAACAAGGTAAGACTGATAACCTCTTTTTTTGGAAAACCGATGGAAGCATGGACTTAGACCGTATCCACGAGGTTATGACCGTAAGAACATATAGTTGGTTAATAAATATGAGTCTAAATGTTTCGTAGGTAGGAAGTGCGGAAATCCCAAAGCTTTTAAACTCGACCCTCTCGTGGTTTTGCGCCTTTTTGTGTAGTCTGCTTGTTATAGCAGGCGCTATGAGGAGTACGTCAAGAAAATCCATGGAAGTCATCCTTGAGCTTAGATTAGCTAGCATACAGGTGACCTATGAAACAGCGTTAGCACTTATATTTTCCGGCCAATTGGATCCAATCTACGATTTATGAAGGGCCTGGTAAGCATACAGAAAATTATATCATCAGAGCACTTGTTACACCTAAGCCTTTCTCTGGCAAGGAAGAATGAGCGGAAAGGCAAGCCCATCGACAATCGTGTAGATACCCATATCAAAATGTGATGGGTCTAAATTCGAGCAGGGCATAGAGGTATGGCTGACCACCGCAATACATAAGGTAGCTTTAAACTCTATGGCTACCACTCTGTCTTCCAATCAGGAAATTTGGGCGCTGCTGAAAAAGCCAAATAGTCAATGGCTCACTGGAAATTTTTTTAGGTTTCTGGTGGACAGCCAAGCGGCAAATAAGTGTGTTAATACAAAGGCCAAATACGGGCGGTCATGCTAGGAGGCAACTAACAGTCTACCGCGAGAAAATACAAAGAATGTAATTTACTTATGTCCCAAGTAACACGGATCTAGAAGACAATGAAAAGGCAGACAAGCCAACTCGCGCTGGCTCCGCTTGAGAGGCTGTCACCATTTAACGCCACAGATCTTTCAGCTCCTTCATATGTTGTCTGAAGCTGAGGGCCATGGAGAACCACTCAAGGTCCTGGAACAGTTCCATCGTAGGTACGTACCATTAAGTTATAGTGAAAAAAATCTGGATTCTAGACAGACTGAACTATTACTTTCATAAAGCAAAAGACAACTTAGTATTCACCCACCAAGATTGACGAATTATTGTCGAAGCATTCATCCATGGGCTAACATCTCTACAATAAGCTGAATGCAGCTGACGAAGTCTTAAAGCACTACCTTTGTGAGTGCTTGACTTTTAGCCGATTGTGATATCATAACTTTTAAGAGGTTCCCAGTCCCAGCCCGGCGCACAATAATTGGCGTTTTTTAACCGCTGAACGATTTTGTGATGTGCATCTTAATGTTTTTCCAACGAATTGGGTGATGGATATTTATGAGGAGCTCTTTATTTCATGTCAGAAATACAATCGGCGGGCTCGACATTCCCTTCCGAGGGAAAATTAAAATAAATTTTCTAAAATCTTTGATGTTGGTCGAACGAGAACTCGACTCCTGGCTTTCAGCTGGGCAGTACGCATTGCTAACCACCGAACTATTGCGGCTGCCGAAGGGCACAGCTCGCATGACGTCCGAACACCTTTCTCAATTCAATTCCGTGTTCAACAATTTCGACACTTTCCTAGCACTGAAGTCATTCACCTCATATACATACATACATATACATATACATATTTACATACATATATATGTATCATATATAAATCTCTCTAATTGACATGGACAACTTTAATTTGTGCACTTTGGTTGTCTAAGTCTCAAGTGACAAGCAAGTACGCGCATATACCAAAATACAGGCCATTCACCTTCAACTAGTCACCAGAACCAAAAAAAAAAAAACAAACAACAAAAATAGAGGAAATGTAGAAAGCAAAACAAAAGACAGGATTAACTAAAATTAATCACTACTTGTTTCATTTTCTTCGTGTCTTCCTTACGCTTCAAATGACAACAAAAACAGGAACAGGATAATGTTATGTTGTCAAAGTCACGCAGGCGCACAACATGTACCTTTCATACATATAAAATATAAGTATATATTTATACTCGTATATGTATTGGAGTTCATTAACCTACACTTGAGGCAGCAAAAATAAATAGACTTTGACATGCGCGCGCAAATAAGATACAAATAGACGACAGACCATAAGCCTGCTGCACCACCAACATCCGCATCTGCGCCTGGAACATCGATTCATCACTGCGACAGATACAACGCTTCGCACGTGCGACCGTTAGTAAGTGGCAAAGAAAAAATCAAAAATACACTCGTATTCACACGCCGAGCTTCAGCGAAAATCGAATGCGGACTCGGTAAAAATTTTTGAATGCGCTTCTTGTAAACTCCCCCTTTTTTGGCCGCAGATTATCAATCGTACGTATGAAGAACTCGAAAAGCTGACTAACAGTTGGAATTTTCGAAAATTCTACAAAAAGTTGCGTTGACTTACAGAAGATTTCAAGTTCCGAACAAACTCTCGCAGAGCCCATAGAGCTGATCTAGAGACTGGCACCGAGAGTATACAAAATTTATTAATAGGAAACTTCTCCAGCTTGCTGAATGGTAGTGAAAATGGATCACCAGAAGTTGGCGATCTCGATTCCCAAATCAGTTACCATAGAGCAGTAGCAATTGCCGACTTAAAAAAAACAAAGCGGCGAGCACCGATGGATCATCGGCCGACCAACTCAAGTACGGCGGCGAAGAGCTGATAAAGTATAAGCATCAGCTTTTTTGCAGAATATTTTCGGATGAAAGCATGCCCAACAATTGGAGCCTAAGTAAGCTCTGCTCAATCTACAAGTGAGAGGTCTCACAATATGCGCCAACTATCGTAGAATAAGCCTCATCAATATCGCATATAAGGCCCCACCGAACTTCAACAAACCAATTGGATCTTAGATATGTGGCTTTTGACCTGAATTTGGTATCCCTGAA